AATTGCAAAAATACAACTCGGCAACACTAAAACAGCTAACTCAGATGTTCCACTCTTGTGGTTTCAGTTTACTCTCAGATTGAGACAACACACCCTCTTTTGGAGGTCAAAAATAGAGCTGTGAAGACTAAAGGGAAAAATATTTACAAGATATTGATTTATAGCAATGAAAGTAATAGCATCAAGCCATAAAACAATGATTAATCATTAACTTACAAAATCTCTCACTTCTATAAAACAGTTACTTATGTGAGCAGCAGACTCAAGGAAGGCTAGAAGTCATAAGATTTGGATTCCTAAGTCCTAGCACTTACTACCAAAGTCCTAAAGTTCTGTTATGATTTATTTAGTTTTAAAAAAGTCAACATATTAAAAAAAATAAAATAAAATTTTAAAAGTCAACATATTTAATGTTTCTCTCTGATATGGATTGTTTCATGATGATCAAATGAAATAATATAATGTGCATTAGAAACAAAGCAAATGCAATTCAGTGCAAGTAGTTAATTTGCAACAACCACTACTAAAGATACTAAGTAAGACCAGTCACAAGTGTACGATATGAGCTCTGAATGGAAGGTGTTGCCTAGCTACAGCTTCATATAGAAAGGAGACATCAGCAGTAGGAGCTCTTCCTCAGAACACTTAGCTTACAAGGATTAGCAGTAATGAAATGATAATATAGGTCCATAAATGGAAGTTGTGACATTGAAGCTAGTAAGGCCATATTAACTTTATACTTGATCACAAGGCAACAGAATGATTTGGAGTTCAGGAGCACCAGTTCTAGAGTCACACTGATGGAGAATGAATTCCAATTCTGCAAGAAACTTTGAGCAAACTTCTTTAGGCCTTTGGTAGCCATCTCCAAGGTGGTGTCCAAAGATCTCCACCCCTAGTATTCATGCCCTGTGTAATGCCCACTTGCACTGTGTCAGGGTTGGTTAATGTGATTAATAGAATACAGGATAAATGATAACATTACTTCTGAGGTTGAGTCAACAAAGGCACTGCAGCTTCCTATCAGGTTGTTCTCATAGAACCCTTGTTTCAAGGGAAACCAGGTATTCTGGCTCCCTGCAGACAGGATCACATGATGGGGAGTTGAGGTCTCTGGCTACAAACCACCTAAGAGAGCTTGGATTTGGATCCTCCAACCTTAGTTAGGTTTTCAAATGAAGAGAAACCACTACCAAATTCCTGAACCACAGAAAATGTGGGATAACAAATGCTTGTTGTTTTAAGGGTGATTATTAAACAATAGTAAATAAAGTTTCAGAGTTTCTGTACATCTTCTGTAAAAATGGAGATGAAAATAGTACCACTGTCAAATGAGAAGAGAAATAAGTTGAAGGCACAGAGTGAATACGCATTGGCTTTTATTACATCTTTGTGTACCTTCCCTTCCACAAGCTGGGTGGTCCCAAATGTATTTGCAGTCACATCTCCGTAGGCCTCACACTTTGTTATGTCATAAAATTTCAAGTACACTTATCCATCTCTACTCTTCCTTTACATGGTCCTTCTCTAACCATCAGTTTGGAAAATTGTCTTCCCTTTTTCTCTTTGACCCTCTTAGAGATGAGAGGCAAGATGTTTAAGATAGAGACATTTAAGGCATAAACTATGGTTAGGGAGTCAAAAGCCAAAGTAGTTGGTCTGAAAAGGACCAGCCCACTGACCACATGAGCACTTGACAGGGTTTGACAATAGTTAACTGAGCTGGCTGGAGTCAACTCGAGCTTTTACAGAGCACACTGTTTAGAAATTGTCCTCTGAAATATACAAAGCTTTCATTCAGACTCATGTCTGTGATTTTAAACCTGGAATAGATCCTGTACTTCCTCAGGCAAACTTCATAGATGTTATCTTTTCTTTCTCTGATTATTCCTGTCTCCTTCACATTTGGGCTTTCTTTCATTACAGATGGATGGGTGAGCAGTTAAATTTCTGACGCACTGAAAGAAGTATTGAAAAAATTTACTGCTAAAGACAAGAGAAGAACAGAGACATTTTCTGTCCCATAATAAAACTCCACAATAAAACTCTGATAAATAATAAAACTCAATAATAAAACTATCTGACAAATATTTTAAAAACTCAGCCTATAATACTAATATAAAGGAAGAAATAGAGATAACAAATAGTGAGTGAGAAGGTTTTATTACCACTGATCCATGAAGATTCTGTAATTCCATTGTAAGTAAAACGTTGTTATATACTCTATATACTGATGATTCTTTAGGGAAATGAATATTTAAATATGATATCCTTTCATAATAGCATATTTCAGGGAATTAAAACAAAGTACAAGGTTTTATATATATACAGGAAGAGGTAGACTTTGAATTTTACTTCTAGAAAAAGCAATATTCTCTCTCTCTCTCGTCTACTTTTGTTAAAGTCAGCATTTCATAAGGAAACACTTGACCTTTTCACAAACCAATCTCAGGAGATGAACTGGGGTTGCTCATATTTTCCTTTCTTTTGGTTATTCATTTTTTTGCTGTCCACATAGTTTAGTAATTAGTTTTGTTTTCTTTTATCAATATATTCCTTCTTCCCTCCTCTTTGTTCCTCTATCCTTCCTTCTCTTCTCTTTTTTTAATTCCTTCCTTTTCTCTCCATTTGTAATACCTCTCTTCTACCTCCATTCTTCTCTTCCTTTCCAGTATCTGTTTGATGATAAATTTAGATTGATAATCCAGAGGACATTTCCTGGGTGATGACTCTGAATTCTTTGTAAGAATGTTCTTTACTTTGGCATAGGCCAGGAATGGTTTGCTGATTTAGTGAAAAGGTTGCAATCCTGAGTTTTCATCTCTGTTCTTTATAATAAGTCAGAAGTAGAAACAAGACGATTTTCGTTTTCTCATCTAATGTACACACATGGCAATCAGGAAATATGAGAGGAGAAATAACTGATGTGGTAGTGTGAATAAAGCACACAATGAAACCACATTTCTACCCATTTGCCCAAGAGGAGTCCTTAGTCACACTCCCCTTACTTCCTGTTTCCAATTACCAATGTCTGATTATTCACATTTCTGAGTAGCTCTATAACCTCCAAATTCTGCTGGGGCCATCCCTCAGTCTCCTGGGAGGCTCCTCCTCCAGTCTTGCCCCACTTCAACTGACATTTCCACTGTCATGCACAACTATTCAGATGGCTCAGAATGCTCCAGGCCTTTACCATCATTGGCAGGTTAACATCAACTTCCTTTCCTGATCCCTCTCTTGTTGTGAGTCCTTTTGTAACCTCAGATTGGAGGACATGATCTTGCATCTCTGTACTGACACAGAAGTATTCACATTTTCTGAAAAACCTATTTCCAGAAATGGATGACAGCTCTTCAACCCTCCCGGCAAAAGGAAATATTTCTCACACTTCATTTGGAGAAAAGACTATGTGCTGTTTAAGGGGGATATCAAGATAATTCCTTCTACTCTGTATGTTCCACCCAGCAAAACAATCCCTTGCATTGACCAAACCCCATGGAAGGCAGCTATATGAACCAGCACCTCAGCCATTTTGTTGTTCATTTCATGTCACTTATCAAAGGACAGTGTTCCCCCTAACTTTCTTAAAATTTAGCTCTGATAATTACAATTTTACCCATCTTTTTCAGTGGTGCCTCAGTGATATTTTGGGGACAAACTATCCAGATTACTCTGACTTATTTGCGTATCTGCTTTCTTCTAGGCTGTAAAGGTCAAGGACCTTTACATTTTGTAAAATTCAGTCTTTGTATTTCCAGCAACCAGTGCAATGCCTGAAACATAATGTGTGCCAAATGATTATTAATTGTACGTATGGACGGCCCATCCTTTTCTACAACAAGTTTATGTATACGTGATTGTTTAAATATGCCAAGAAATACTTTGTGAAATAGTTATAATTTAAGTCACAAAAAAGAGTAAAAATATAAGTGGACTGAAGCTTCCCACTCAGTCTAAAACAGTGATGATCATGACTTTCTTCAGTAAAATCATTATTAATATGGTAGCACACTCAGTAATTTAACCTTTGATATCTAGAACTGCAGGGCAAATACAATTCTGACAACTCTACAATCTAATTGTAAACTGTCACTCTGAAATCTGGACAGGACCCTCTGAGTGAGTACCCCTGTCTACATATTTCCTGGTTGACTGGGCCATCCAGAAGAATGCTTCATTTGGCTGACTGGAGTGTGTAATACTGTAATAAAAGTAATTGTTTAAAAGGAAAGTACCGCTGAAAAAGACCCAAAGTAGTTATTCTCACTTGCTTGTATCCAGTAGAAGTGTATTCCACTCTTAGGTAAGAGATAGGGCTACCCTGGAGCAGTCAGACCAGGGAAAAGAAATAAAGGTAGCTTCAAATACAATGATTCCCCCAAAGCATCACTGATCCCAGCTTCCCTGCTCCCCACCCCCATCAATATGTCAACTTGCTTTATACTTTAGCTCTGCAATACTTCTATTAAGTGGTAGTTATTCCCTGCACTACAACTTTCCAATGGATGAATTTCTCTCTGCCCTGAAGGGAACAATCTGGGTGTGCCCTGCACACTGTCTTTTCTCAAAACTGTCACTTGGGACTTTCTTATTTTTCCCGCCCATTGGTATATCTGTACTGCTTTTCTTGATCTTTAAAAAATTAAAAAAATTACCTCTTTTCCTTTGAAGCTCACAACCACGAAAGTTTTTTTTTAAATTTCATTTAAGTAAAAACTGATTAAACAAATTCTGGAACTTCTCCCTAATTTCAGGAAGCATATATTTGTTATTTATAACAAAATGTGGCGGCTGCAAGCCTCACAGCCTAAACACTGGAGCCCAAGAGAAGTGCATGTTGCTGCTACAGTAGAAGCAGCAACAATGCCAGGAAACCTCAGCCACAACCTGGCGCACTGGTCCAAACTCGCAGCAAAACCCTCGATCTCCTCAGTGTGGCAAGACAGAGCCTCATTATGGTCTCCAACTGTCTTATCTTTTTTCAAATGTTTCAAACTTACTCTCATTTTGGGTCAGCAGAACCACCGGCACGGTGATGATGGTGATGAGCACGCCGACGCCCAGCAGTGCCAGGAGCACAATCCATGGTGTCTGCAAGCAGGCAGATCAAGTCCAGTTAGTAGGAGTCGCTTGGCCCCAGACTGGGTAAGAAGGTCTGAGCCTGGGCTGCAGCTGAGGCTGCGGGATTGCCGATGGGCGCGCGCACTGGGAGGGGAGTGTTGCGGGGTGGGAGGGTTTGGAAGACGCCAGTCGGAGGTAGCAAGAGAGTTTGCCCTTGAACTTGTGGCCTGTGAGCACATTAGTACTTGTTTCTCTATGCCTGTTTGTCCGAAATCAAGTGAAGGGTTCGGGGCGTGCGTTTTGTGCAGGCACCCCAGGTCCTCCAAACTTGGCGCCTGGGTTCTAACAGAAACCGCGCGGGTCTGAGAGCGAGCTCAGAAATTCTGGGACGCCCCTTCACCTGTCAGAGGGTGGCCCTAGAGTTTCTGCCCAGTGAGAGCTCCTGGTCCCGTTCTGCGAGCATTTGAGACACTTTCGGGAAAGTTTGGTTTAAAGGCGCCTACAATTCCACCCTGGGGCTGGGAAGGGGGAGGCGCGCTACTCACCCTCATCGTGGCGTCTCCTCGAGCTGAGCTTTCGGAGCAGGAGCGCGGCAGAACTCGGGCGAGTCACCGAGTCGCGCGTCCAACTCCGGCCAGCTCTGCGCTCTGGGCCGCGGAGTCTCGGGGCGCTCCTAAGTTCGGCCTCTAGTTAAACATTAGTGCGCGCCCAGCCCGCTTGGTATGAAGGGCCGCGGGCAGGCTGCCGGCCGGGCTGTGCTGGAGAAGGTGCTCCGAGCTCCGGGCACTGGTATTCCGGCCCCGGGGGCGCCCGAGAGGCGCCTCCCCCTGGCTATGCAGGACACCGCTGCAGCAGCCAGGGGTGCGCAGGGTGTGGGGCCCCTGGGGACGTGCATAAGGAGGGGCGAGTGCCTCTGCCTGGGTGACCCCGCACCGGGCATGGGATGCCTAGACCAGAGGTCAACGAGACCGGGGACCTTCGAGCTCAGCTCCCGAAACCTCGCGTTGGAAGACCTGAGAACCTAGCCCAGAGAGGGCACCGGGCTCTGCAATCTCACACAGCTCAAAGCTGGTAGTTTTAACTAAAACCTAGGGCTCTGTCTTTTGCCAACGGAAGGTATGTTGGGGATTGAGGAGTGTCTAAAGCTACCTAGGATGAAGAGAGAGAGAGAGAACAGGTGATTGTTTATTTGTGAGTAACTCTTAGAGACTGAAGTATCTGGATTCATCCTCCACAAGGAATTTCTGACTTGGCTTGCAGGCTTGCGGTCTCATCAAGGTGCCAAAAATAACACTAACGCTTACCAGGAACTTACTTTTCCCCATGGGTTGCTGTAAGCTTTACTGGGAAACACTACAGGGAGGAAGCCTAGGTGCAGAGACAGTAAGTAATTTGTCCCAAGTGACAGAGCTAGGAAGTTGTGGAGCCTGAATTCAGGGGTCTTCGTCTTAGCCACTACTTCACTGGCTCTCTCATCTAAGAGTTGCAAAGAGGATTGGGAGAAGAGAAATAGTCAGATGTGGTTTCTTTCCCCAGTTCCCCTTATGCCCGGTGACTCATTCATTCACTCTCACATCTCCTATTTAGTCCACCTATTCCACAAATATTTAAGTGTCTACAAAGTGGCAGATGTTTTTCTTTACGAAGAGATAGAGAAGTGGATAAGGTCTGTATACTTGACATCTTCAGTATAAAACAAACAATAAATATTTTTGGCTTTAGGCCCTCCTATAATTACTTCTTTTCTTGCAGATAAGTACACCATCTCCTGAAAGGTCTTTTATGTTGTTCTCTAAAGAGCATAGCCTCTCTGTCCATAGTTAGAGGTAAATAATTAAAAATGCAATGTCAGGAGAAAGTGAAAATAGAAAAATGCAAAGTTATATTGGGTATTAACACATGATTGTGAATAAGCTTATGTTTTCATCCTTTAAATCTCTCCTCTAGACTTTGCTTCTGAACTCACCCACACCTTACTCCAGAGACTCAAGCTGAACTCTTAGTCTTCTTCATCAACCTTGCCTCACTCTTCCCTGATCATCCCCACCTTTATTAAAAGTGTCCCATTCACCATTAACAAAAACTAAAAACCTTGTTATCTCAATTTTTCTTCTCCACTCTCCTGCTACAATTGTTTAGCAACCAATTTCTCTGAATTCTTCCTTAATCGTTGTCTCTCAGATTCATTCCCTCCTTCTTCCTGGAGAAAGCAAGTCAATGGTGTTACTGAAGACTTGAGCTTGCGTGAAGAGAAGCCACCCAACAAACACAAAAGAAATGGTGCCTAATTGGGGGCTCAGTATTGTTGGTCTCTGTTCTCACCAGTTTACACACTGAGCTATGGAGCAGGAGAGCTGCATAGTCATATCAGCCCTGGGAAGGGAAGTCCATCCCATTGAGCCTGTGTGTAACCTCCATGCCTGTGTCTTGGAATTGCACCAGCAGCAAGACCTGTATAGCTATAGGGAAAGGCTAACTGATATCCTGAGGGCTCATCATCTTATTCTCTGGAAAGACAAAGAACAAGTATCTTCACACTGTGCCTACTTCAAGAGATTCTTTCACATATTTCCCCCACCCTGACCCATTCATCAGTCTTTCAATCTTGTTTTTGCCAAGTCCCCAAGGTGCCAGCTGGTCAACACATTAGCCACTATCTGAGTCAGTGTAGATGTTATATCAGGCCATCTCTCTTTCCATGCAAAATGGAAAAACAATGTATTGCTCATCCGTCTATTAGGAAGAGTTCTCTTTTACTGTATTTCAGGCCATCCTAAGAGGGGTTGTGATATGGCAACCTGCCACACCTGGCTGGAGACAGCTTATTTTGCAAAAGGCCAACTCTTTCCCTCACTATGGCCAGGTTATAGGGAACTCCCCATGAAAGACTGATGTGCATTGAAGGAGAAACACTGAAGCAGTGGCAGGTCTAATTTCTCTGCTCACCCAATTTGCTTGTGCCTTTTCAATCACTTGGGGTCATCTCAACTCCATCTTAAAGACACCATTCACATAATAATAGGAGGCCTCTGAACATACCCAACTTTTTCATTTAGTGGATCTGGTAACAACCAGTTCACTGTGGGTAGCCCAGGTTGTATAATTACTTGGTGTTGTAGGTTGGATTTTGTCCCCTCCAAAAAAAAGATGTTGGAGTCCTAGTCCCCAGTGTGTCAAAAGTAACCTTATTTGGAAGTAAGTTGTTATTGAGCATTTAGGTTAAAAAGAAGTCATTTTGGTGGACTCTAATCTAGTATGACTGATGTCTATATTAAAAGGGGAATGACTTTCTGCTGCCCCACGGCCGACTCTCCTATTTCATCTCTTTTGGAGTCCAGATCAAAACCTTCCAGCTCACCTTCAACATTGACTGTATTTCCTTCTATTTTCTACTTTTCTTACCAACCAGAGTTTCAAACATTATTCTGTTTGTACTCCAATTGAATACAAGCTATTGAAAAAAAAATTCACTTCTACCAAGACATACATAGATGATAGCAAGCTTGTTGGATACTTCTATGGATTTAGATAAATGGAAAGAAGAAATTTCAGACCAAACTAATATCTAGCCATAGAGGATTGGGGAAGAAAGTTGGAAGAATTAGAGACTTATTTGTTTAGTTACACAAGTGTTCTAGAGAGTATTGGGAAATACAGGTCAATCATGGTCATATTCTTCAGTATGAAATTCAGTATTCAGTATGTATTAGGGAGTCAGTGAAATTTTTTGGTCTTTGTTGTTTTTATTGTTGTTGTTGTTGTTTCCCAAAATTTTTTGCTGGGGAAAAGAACCTTAGACTTGAACTTCAGATACACAAATCAGGAACAGCAAATGCCAGATAAATAAGAAAGGGAACATGAAAGTCAACAAAGTGGATGTTGCAAAATTAATTGAACAGATGCCTCTCTTTATGGAGTGAGTGTATTACAAGAGAATTTGAACCATTGGCTTCTACTTGTTAATCTAGAACTTGCTAAAAAAATGTTTTCCAGTTCCGGTTTTGGGTGTTTTCTTTGCCCCAATTATCAGTAACCCTAAATAAGAGTTCTTCTTATACTCAGTGCTAAGGTCTTTTGTTACCTATTAGATCAGACACCAGCCAAAGGAGAGGAGACTTTTGTACCCTTGTTTTGTTGTGGTGCTTTGGATATTATGTGGGTTTTTTTTTTTTTTTTTTAATTTGAAGACTTTGCTTATACTAGCAAATTCACCTAAGAAATAACTAGGTGACTTTATGGGGAAAAAGTGTTTAAGATCCTTAGAGTCAAGTGTCTGTGGCTATGATCATAGCTTCTTCTTAGTGTTTTTCAAGTTGTAAACATGTGGTAGAAATGATGGTGGTGGTTTATTTTTATAAGGCTGGGGATAAGATAAATGGTGGGATTGTAGGGCTGAGCAGTTGTTGTGATAATGGAAGGAAAGAAACAACAGGACCAGTGGAATAACAACTTCAGTTCCAAACCAAAATATTAGAGAGATCTAATTTGCTTTAGGAAGGACCACCATCTATACTTTTTTTAAAAGATTTATTTATTTATTTATACAAGAACCGGGATACAGGTCAGATTTGCGGGAGGGTGAGAGGATTCATCAGAGACAGAGTGGGGAACAGGACAAGCAGAGTGACAAAATACACAGCTGAGGAGAGCAGCGGGCGTGACAGGAGAGGTCTGCCACACCATGTGGGACCCTCACCGGCTCACCAGGATCGAACCGGCACTGCAGAGGCTGCGGACAGCTTCACAGCACTGTGCTCAACTGCCTGCACCACAAGGGGAGGTCCCACCACCTATACTTTTTAGAATAGTAGATCACATAATCAAAATATCATATGTATGAGAGTCTTCTGATTTTACTGTGTGCTAGTTTATGAATAAAAATAATGAGAAAAAAAACACGTGTAGTATTACACTAGAGTAAAAAATGTCTCATTCATTTTTAATTGTGATAAAGTACACAAAACGTAAAATGCACAAAAAGGACCATTTTTCAGTGTACATTTCTTTTTTATATGGAATAACCCAACATTTATAATGTAATTTTCATGAATTTTATATATATAGCTTAAATTATTCATTTAGGACTCTTTTTTTCTAAGCATTATGGTGCAATGTGACTATTACTCTCATTGTGTTCATTTTAAACTGGCATCTGGCTTCTGCTCCTTGAGTTTCTCTTTATGGAGATATAGGATGACAAAGGTACAGGATGACAAAGAAATGGGATGGGAAATGACCTTCTTAGTGATACTTTGCTGTGGGTATACGCAAAGAACTGTATTCTGGTGAAACTTTTTATGCTTTAAGAGAAAATTGACTATCAGAAATCAAGTGGGAAAAAGTTTGAAGAGCCAGAAACTATAAGGAAAATGCAACCCAACAGGAATGGTCAGATACTGTTTACCTCCCTGGCTGAAAGCATAGTTTTAGGTATTTACATAGACTCTATAGAATATTTCTTAAACTTGTTTTCTTTATTTTCTACTCTCCCCACTCCAAAACTATTTTATATTTTCCCCTAATACCTAACACCATAGATACATAAATGTCTATTTATATACTGTATATACATATAAATGTTATATTTGTATGTATATATACGAGTGTATATGCATTGTGTATATAAAGAACTATTTTTTTCCCCTAGAACCAATCTCTTGGGAGGTGATATTGCCCTCACTGTGAATGCATGATACATTATTATATACAGTTTCGAGACATATGTGGCAATTACTCAGAATCAACAGGATATCATTACTCTTTTAGAGCATTGGTTCC